AAGTCTGCTCTGGGAGCCTGCCGGGACTCACTGAGGTTCGGGTACTGTGAGAAGCGGCCGGGGGGCTGGAGCCTGACCTGGCACAGGTGTTTACAGCTCTCACTGGGCCCAGGTGAGGGCTGTGCTGGCCCGGGCTCCCTACACCACCCCGACTTTTCAAGGCCTCCCCTGCTCTTCCACGAGGTAAGGAGTGGGTGTCCCAGCCGGGCCTGAGCCCTGCTTTCCCACTTCTACAGCGAGCAGAGTGAGGAGGGTGGGAAGAAGAAGACGAAGAAGAAGAAGAAGGTGTCAGAGGGACAGGGCGAAGCCTCGTCCTCGGAGGATGGCAGCGATTCCAGCAGCAGCTCATCAGAGTCCGAGGAGACGTCAGAGTCGGAGGAGGAGCAGGAGCGACCTGCCTCCTGGAGGAGGAAGACGGTGAGAGCCCGCCGTGCGACAGAGAGGCTGGCTGCTGCTGTCCCCTGGGCCAGGCCCAGACACTGCCCCCGGCCCAAACAGACCATGGTGGCTTCCCCACATCCCAAACAGACCAGGTGGCTCCTCTTCCCTGCCTTCATCCTGTTTGTCTCTTCCAGCCTCCCAGCAGCAAAAGTGCCCCGGCAGCCAAAGAGATCTCCCTGCTGGACCTAGAGGACTGTGAGTTTGGGTGGTAGAAGTCCCAGGAAGGGGGCCTGGGAATGCGAGTTCGGAAGATCTGTCGGGGCTCTTCAGATCTCAGAGTGGTGGGGAGCAGACAGAACCCACCTCCAGGTCTGAGAGAGCACAGGACACCCTCCTCAGTCTGGGGTTGGATCTGGAGGGGTGTCTTGCTCAGGGCCTCCAGGCAGCCCTGTGCCCGCTGTCCGTGGTGCTGAATCGTGTGCTGCTTGAGCCCCGGGTTCCCTGCTCACCCCAAGCCACCTCCAGGTTGCCTCCCCCACATCACCACCTTCCTGTCCACTCCCACAGTCACCCCTGCCAGCGTCCCACCTGTGTCTCCCCCCACGGTTGTGTCCACCAGTCTGGCCACTGACCTGGAGGGCCTGACTCTCACAGACTCCTCCCTGGCGCCCTCGGTGAGTGGGGAGGGAGGTGCTGGGTAGGGGCAGGGACACCACTCTGCTGTGTCCTTTGTGTGCGGTCCCATTGCTGGGAGGCCCTCAGTGGGAACAGGGCTGTGATGGGCTCCCTCCCTCCTCTGCTCCAGCTGCTGAGCCCAGTGTCGGGTGCCGGGAGGCAGGAACTGCTGCACCGGGTGGCTGGCGAGGGGCTGGCTGTGGACTACACCTTCAGCCGCCAACCTTTCTCTGGGGATCCCCACATGGTGTCTGTGCACATCCACTTCTCCAACAGCTCCGATACCCCCATCAAGGGCCTGCACGTGGGCACCCCTAAACTGCCTGCTGGCCTCAGCATCCAGGAATTTCCTGAAATTGGTGCGGAAGGGCCTGGGACAGGGTGGAGGACGAGGCTGCTGGGTGGCCATTCTTTCTGTGCCTGTTGATTCCCTCTGTGAGCCAGGCCAGGGGCCGGGTGGCAGGGGACAGAGGTAGCATCTCGCGTGATCTGTGCCCCGGAGGACCAGATAGACTTGGGAGCGGGAGAGTCCATGTCAGGAGGGCAGGAGGTGCTTGTGGGACCTTGTGGTCCTTGATCGTGTCAGGACTGACTGAAACGGGGTGAGGATGGGTGAGAGAAGGGTGCTTAGACTTCAGGAGGAAACCAGACACAGTCCTTGGGACTAGGAAAAAGCCAGGACCCCATGGAGGGCTGGGCAGCTGTGACAGTGGAGGGGAGGTTGGGGCTAGCCTGGGTTCCAGGCCTATCAGGTGATGGTGACTCCCTGTCACCTGTCCCTGCCTCACACTGTCTCAGAGTCCCTAGCTCCTGGAGAATCTGCCACTGCTGTCATGGGCATCAACTTCTGTGACTCCACCCAGGCGGCCAACTTCCAGCTATGGTGCGTGTCCATCTCATGGGAGGAAGGGAGAGCGGGTGGGGAGAGGCAGGGTCAGGTGAACCAGAGCTGGGTGACGGTGGCCGGGCCCCATTGTGACAAAGTGGGTCTGGGAGCCACTCGTAGGCCTCAGGTCTGACGTCATGCCCCCACTGCCACCGAGCTCTGCCTCTAGACAAGGAGGCAGGTGCAGCGAGAGATGCCGGCCTCACTTCCTCCCCCTCTGCTCCCCCTACCCTTTCTGCCCAGCACCCAGACCCGACAGTTCTACGTCTCCATTCAGCCGCCTGTTGGGGAGCTGATGGCTCCCGTGTTCATGAGTGAGAATGAGTTCAAGAAGGAGCAGGGTGAGTGCTGTCTGGGGACAGGTGGGGCGGCGGCTCGCACCATCCTCTGGGGTTCAGTAAGCTCCAGCTACGTTGGAGAGACCTTGGCTCCTTCAGAAAGAGGGAAGCCTGTAGTTTTCAGCTCCACAAACACTTCACAAAGGCTAGAACGAGTGTGGTGGGTGAGGCAGCAGATTTGGGGCTTAAACATGCTGGGCATGTGTGCACCTGTGCCCAATATCCCACAAGGAGGGAGAGATGGAGGAGAAGGGATTATGGCATGACCATGCCCTAGTGGGGGATGTATTCTTCTTTCTCACTTTCTCTCCCTCTCTGGTGAGCACACACACCCTCTGGCAAATTAAAAACAGAAAAAGGAAATGTGGGTCTCTGCTCAGGAAACGCTCCGAGGCTGGAGTCACGCGCATGCAGTGGGAAAGGAAGCTGTGAGTCTGAGTGAGATCATGAGGGGGCGGGCTCAGGGGCCAGGACGGAACCTTGAGGAAAACCTGCATCTCCAGAAGAAACAGGAGCGGGGAGGAAGAGAAAAGGGGGAGGCTGAAAGGTGGGAGGAGAACCAGGAGCCTGGCAAGATGGGGAAGGTGGTCCTCAGGCATGCTGACAGTGGCCTTCAGATCCAGCATAGAAGAGGCTGCTGCCAGCCTGCAGAAGAGCAGGTCACTGCTCAACGAGGGACCCGAGGCCAGGTGCATTGGGTGAAGGAGAGCAGGGCTAGAGGAAACGGAGTCCTCCTTGGCAGACCTTGGCTGTGAATGCGGAGGGAGATCGGGCCTTAGTGGGAAGCCTGATGGGGCAACTGGCAGTGTGGTGGTTGCAGTGGCTGTATCCCACATGGATGGCTGCACAGTTCGAGTCCCACACCCACAGCGGCTTGGGGAACCCCAGGTGCGCGTGTGTGTGTGTGCCCAAAATTCTGAAAGGAGAAATGGAGGAAGGGGATTGCAGTGTGACCACGCCTCCCCTCCCCACCCCCGAGAGTGCTCACAACCTCTAGAAACTTTTTTTAAAATAATTATTTATTTTATTTAATTTATTCATTCATTTATTTGCTAATTTGACAAGAGAGAGACAGAGGTTGAGAGTGAGAGAGAGAGGAAGTGAGAAAGCAAGTCACCAGATTCAGGACTTGAACCCTGGTCAGCCATGTGGGAGTGTCCAGCGCCTTAACCACCTTGCCACCTGCTGGTCCCCAGTAACTTCTTTTTTTAAAAAGAAAAGAAATGGGAGGGCCAGCTAGTAGAATGGTGGTTAAGGCACAGGATCCCACGTGACTGCTGCACAGTTTTAGTCCTGGACCCGATGGCTTGAAAAACATGCTGGGCACGTGTATTTTTGTGCCCAAAATCCTGAGAGGAGTAAGAGGAGAGGGGATTGTGGAATGGCAATACCCCCTGAGGTTTCATTTCTTTCTCTCTCTCTGGTGAGCACGTGTGCCCTATCTCAAAAAAAAAAAAAAAAAAAAAAAAAAAAAAAAAAAAAAAAAAAAAAAAAAAAAAAAAAAAAAAAAAAGCATAATAGTTAACATCGCTGGACTCCCACATATTGACCACGGTTTGAATCCTGGACGTGGAGGCTTAAAACTCATTCTGGGTGCATGTCCATGCATGCCCAAGATTGCAAGAGGAGAATGGAGTGATTGTGGTGTGGCCATCCCCCCTGGGGGGTGATTTCTCCCTTTCTGTCTCTGTGTCTCTCTCTCCAGTGAGTACACATGCCCTATAGCAAAAAAATCTCTCTAAAAAGAAAGAATGAATTGAGAGATTTGCATGTGAACAGACTGAAGGTAGAAGAACAAGAAAAAGTTATTAGCAGGAGAGGAGGGATGGAGGAAACAGGGAAAATATGTCAGTTTTGTCTTTTTTTTAAGACTTAATTTTATTTATTGTTACTTTTTATAATAATTATTTATTTAATTTTATTTATTCATTTATTTAAATTTGACCATAGAAAGACACACACAGAGAGAGAGGGAAGGTAAGAAAGCAAGCCAATACGTCCAGGACTTGAACACTTGGGAGTGTCCAGCGCCTTAACCACCATGCCACCTGCTGGTCCCTATTATTATTATTTTTTAATTTGACCAGAGAGAGAGACAGAGAGAGGGAAAGTGAGAAAGCAAGCTGCCAAGTCTGGGATTTGAACTGTGGTCAGCCGTGTGAAGTCCAGCGCTCTAACCACCACACCACCTGCCGGTTCCTAGGGTTGTCAGATCTTAAAAGGAAAAGGATAGGGCAACAACAGAGAGAGGAGAGGGAGACCAAATAGGCCACCTGGGCACAGGAGTGCAGGGGAAGGTGCTACCATGGGCAGTCTCCAGCTGCCAGTGGAGAAGAGACGGTAGCCCTGCAGGGTGTGGGCTCCGTGGGGCGTCAGGAGTTCGGGCCGGCTCTGGCTGCTGCAGAGACACCATTAGGGCCATGCCTGTGAGCGCTGTGCACGATACTGGACTCTGGCCAGGAGTCCAGCGACCATCCCAACCTCTAGGAGCTTCTAGGAATTGAAGGTTGGAGGGCCACCCAGGAAGGGGATTGCATACACAGAAGTTCTTGGGGGACCAGCAGTTAGCGTAATGGCTATGTCGTTGGGCTCCCACGTAGTCGACTGTGGTTTGCGTCCCGGACCTGGTGGTTTAAACTCACGCCGGGCGCGTGTGCGTGCGTGCCCAAGATCCTGAGAGGAGAATGGAGGAGAAGGGATTGCAGTATGACCATCCCCCCTGGGGGGTGATTTCTCGCTTTCTATCTCTCTGTCTCTCTGTCTGGCGAGCGCAC